CACACTCTGGGGCCAAATTCCATTCTATCTAACGATTTCATAAATACAAACGTAAGAAAACTGTACAAAGTGAAGACAAAGAGAACAGGTTAGAAGTAGACGGAGAAATAACACTCATCACCTTCATGAGATCAACATTTATAAAAAGGGCTGACTCCCACAGCAGTAACAAGAGAGCAGGAAGACAGTAGATTGATATCTTGAAAGTACTATAAGAAAATACCTTCATACCTAATACTGTACACATAAAAATATGCTATAGAATTAAGGCATTGAAAGGACATTTTTTTTAACAAAATAGAACTGCAACTCTTTTTACATGGTTAAACCAATGGCATTGATTACATCCATGTTGTTCAATCATTTTAATTATCCATTTCCAAATTTTCTCATTACCCTTAACAGAAACTCATACAAGCAAATCATTAATTTTTCTTAGATACACAACCAACAATCATGACACCAACAGCCAAGAAATCTATGCCATATTACATTAGGCAAATCTGCTGCACAAGACCTCTTTAAAGTGTTCAAGAGCAAATATATCAGTCTGAGGATTAAGGAGTATGCCTAACCCAAACCATGGTATTTTCAATTGCTGCATATGCATGTGAAAGTTGAACAATGAAACAGGAAGACCAAGGAAAAATTGATGCATTTGAGTTATGGTATTGGGGAATAACATTGAAAGTACCATGACGCCTGAAGAACAAACAAATCTGAGTAGTAACAAGCAAAGCCGGAATGTTCCTTAGAAACCAGGCTGGTGAGACTTGGTTTCTTAAACTTCAGAAATGTTATTAGGTGAGATCTTTACCTTGAGAAACACATCGTGCATGTTAAAGTGGAGGGTACTGAAACAGAGGAAGACTCTCAAGGAGATTGATTGGGACACTGGCAACAGTAATGGTCTCATGTGTAACAACAATTGTAAGGACGGCACAGGATAGAGCGGAGTTTTATTTTATTGTGCATAGGGTCTCTAAGAGCTGTAACTGACTCAGAGGCACTTAACAACAACAACATTATACATGAAGTTTCTGTACGTCCCTGATTTTTTTTTTTTTTAAGTGTTGACTGAGCACTTATTTATTGTTTCATTTTGCTCTCCTTCACTGTGTTATAAATTTATAATTCTTTCGTGATTCTTCAACAAATTTACAACACACATATGAATCCTATTAATGTTTAAAATTAACCAAAACATGCAGTGTACTCATTGCTAAAACAGAGACCTTGTTTTAGTTGTTAGGTTCCATCTAGTCAGTTGTAGCTCAGAGCAACCCTATAGAGGATTTCTGAGGAGTGGTTGGTGAGTTTGAACTGCCAACCTTGTGATTCAAAATTACCTTGCTGTCCACCTCATTATCCTACAGTTCTACACCAACACTCCAATGGATAATTGTTGTTGTTGTTGTTAAGTGCCACAACTCTTGCAAATCTTTGATTGATCCTGGTGATACTGATCTCAGGGTTTACCGTGTTTGGAATGACCTCAACAGCTTTTACATATATTGATAGAAAGCATCTGACTTCCAGAACCATAACACAGTAAATTTTTATTGAATTAGATACCACAGTTATGCTGAATCATTATAGAAGTCAAAGGAAACTAATACAATGATAAAAAAAAAAAAGAAAAGTTCCACTTGTGAAGAAAAGGGAAAAAAATCATAATAATAGTATTACCCAAGATTACATGTACACCAATACTGTTCAAATCATTTCGTTTTATTGACTCATCTAGCTTTCCAGCAACTCTACAAAATAGCTAGTACCATTATATTCACTTTATGTACAAGGAAATCTTGTCACTGGGTATTTGAGTAACTTACTCAAAGTCACATGGCAAGGAAGGGACAAAGCTGTATTTAAAAATGATACCTGATGAATCAAGATGATGGGAAATATGTTCACATTTACAGATCATAAGGGGACCTGGTGTAGTGCTGTAGAATAATCATTGGACTGCTAACCACAAAGTTGGCAGTTCAAAGCTACCAACTGCTCCTTTGAAACCCTATACAGGATCTCTAAGAATTAGCACTGACTCAACAGCACTTAACAACCACAAGGATGACAGAATTGGAGCATGGCCGTTATAAGAGAAGTACAGCAGAGAGAAATGACCTTCCCCTCTTTAATTTTACTTTGTTTTAACATCAAAAGGTAACACAGGAAAGACCTAAGGACAATAGTGTCCAGAAGAAAGGGACAGGGAGAAACATACTACAAAGAATATTGGTGGCTCTGATTCTGAATAAGGCATAATAGCATTGAAAGAGTAAGGAAATAAATGAGGACAAGTTAAAAGGAGAAACTTACAGGCCTAGAGAAGAGAAGGAAGCAAGTGAGGAGAGACGCACAAGAATACCCAATTTTGCTTAGCTTCATGACTTGATAATCAGAACTCGATTAGAGAAGATTAAAAAGAGAGAAAGAGAGAAAGGAAGGAAGGAAGGAAGAGCAAAACAATTTTTGATAAAGTAAACAAGGGTAATTTACTATAATTTGTTGAACCTGACCTTACTCATAGATGTGGTGGTGGTGGTTATGTGCTGTGGAGTTGGTTCTGACTCATAGCGATTCTGAACAGGGATTCCAAGGCTGTGAATCTTTAGGGCAGTAGAAATATTTATGTGGAACACCTAGTAGTTTCAAACTACTGACCCTGAGGTTAGCAGCCCGATTCGTAATCACTATGCTACCAAAGTTCCTTATTAATGGAGGTAGTAACTCTGAATACCAACAGAGAGGGAAGGAGTCTTCATATTCAAGTATCAGTCCTCTCCCCTCCGTACACAGGGTAGATAGGCATGGGCAACTTAGACAATGGCTACCTAAGATGAAGGAGCAATAAAGACATGAAGTGACTGGATTACAAGGTTTCAAATTGGAGTATACTTTAAGAGTGTGTGGAGGAAGAAAGAGTCCTCACTGAATACTTTTCATTTTGTCTAGATGGATTTGGTTAAAAGAGATAGGTATACGATTCTTATGATTCAATAGTGAGTAATTGTTACCATGACTAATTGCGACTGCCAGAATTGTAAAGATAGAAGCTTTGTAATAAAAACGGGGCAGTAGTTAATCTTACAGTCCAGGAACACAGGACCCTGGGACCAACAAAGGAGAAGAGCACAAGCAGAATGCAAGACTTTATCCAGAGAAGCAGCAAATCCAGAGATGTAGGCAGAGATGGGGTCATGGAGAGAGGGAGCAGCTGATGACTCTACATTAATGGAAAGAGAGGGACTAAGAGTTTGTGGCCAGGAGGCAGACTTGCAGAATGTGCCTTTTGGTGGTGTGAATTATTATATATGCATGAGTGTTTAAAAAAAAAAGAGAGAGAAAGAGATAAGGTGAACAGAGAGAAATACTGTTAACTGATGTTACATGGATAGGATTATAATCATTGCAATGAAATAAGGTACATGACTTTTTAAATGTAAAACTGATGATGTGCCCTGTAAACTTTCACTCAATTCACAAGAAAAACTTTAAAGATAAAAAAAGGAATAGAAGAAAGTTTAGAGTCAAGAAGTGGTAGTTGATCCATGAAGGTATCAATCTCACTGGATCCCCTCCAACAGTGAGCAGACCAGTAATCCTTGGTTACATCCCTGAAGTCCAGCTCTGTACGGGGCATATGGTCAGTGTTCTGACATTGTAGGAAAAGTGTCCATGGGATATTTTATTGTACAAAATAAGAGTCCCCAAAGAAGACTACATCAAGTCCTGGAAACCTATCAATATGTTGGATTGTATGAAAAAAGAGAGTTTGAACTTAGAATTAAGAGCAGAGACCTGCGATGAGGCTATTACCCAAGATTCCCTAGCTGAGCCCAATCTTAAAAGCATTCATCCTTACAAGCAGAGAACTCTTCTAGTCTGTGCTCTTGGGGAGATGCAACAGCTGAAGAAGAGGCCATCTTGCTGCCTTTGAAAATGGAGGAAGAGGGTCATGAACCGTGGAATGCAGGAGGTATCAAGGAGCTAGAAATAGCAGGAAATGGTTTCTAGTCTAGATCCTTCAAAAGGATTGCAGCCTCACTGACACCTTGACATTAGCCCAGTCTGATTATTTTGGACTTCTGCCCTGCAGAACTGTAAAATAAGAAATGTTTTGAGACACTAAGTTTTGTGTTGTTTTTTTTATTTGTCACAGCAGAAGTAGAAAACTAATACAGAATATTGTGATACATTTTTCCTATAGGGACCTTCCACAAGGAATCAAAGAAACACAGTCCCTTAAACATCTCCTGAGTCCTACAAACCATCCTACATATAAATCAGAAATGCACTAGATGGAGGGAGAGTGCAAGCTCCTGTCCTGTGGGGAGGAAGCAGCTGCTGCTATAGAGCCTTCCTGCCCCAGCCTGGGGAGGAGGTTTATGTTAAGGGCTGAAGCAGTGTGGGTGGAGCACTATGACCCTGCAGACAGAAATAATCGCCCACATCTTCAGCCTGGACACTGCTGATAGTGAGAGTGAAGTCTGTCCCAGACCCACTGCCACTGAACCGGTCAGGGACCCCAGATTCCCGGTTGGATCCCCAGTAGATGAGAAGCTTCGGAGCTTGTCCTGCTTTCTGCTGATACCAGGATAAGAGCTGATAGCCAGAGTAGGTAAGACTCTGGCTGGACTTGCAGTTGATGGTGATTGTTTCTCCTAGAGACACAGCCCGGGAGGCTGGAGACTGGGTCATTACAATGTCCCCACAGGCACCTGCAATCAGAGGGCACAATTACCATCCATATATACACTTTATCAACACATTTAAAAGCAAATCATTCACATGACACACAAAACTGTAATGAGTGTGATCATTTGATTCTGAAATAATTGTTATTTCACTCCACATCTAAAACCAGTCTTACCTAATCTACAAACATAGTAGTCTAATGCTTTTCGTTCCCTCACCTGATGCCCAGAGCAGCAACACCATGAGGAGCTGGGGCTGTGCCATCATCGTGGTGCAGGTGCCCTGACTGATGCAGCTCAGTTCTCACTGACAGGAGGAAAGGTCATATTTGTAAAGCTCTGAGCAGCCACTGAAACCAAGAGGATCTATGCAAAACAGACAGGATTATACAAACAAATTACATGACAATGAGTTGTGGAGAGAAAAGTATTATCATAAAACAGTGACTATTTGACTATTAAAGATGCAACAGGCTACTTAGAATATAAAAGGCCCAGAAAAGTCCAGAAACCAGTTGAAATATAACTGTTTAAAACCAACAGCATCCTCATTCACAAGCTACAATCAAAAAAACATTCTGAACGAAAAGCTCTGATTTACATTGAAATAATATTTATATATGTTTATTTCATACTATATATATCAGGATATATGGGGGGCTTCAAAAGTGCAAAATGAGTAGCACAGGACCAAACAATCTTCCCTTCTGCTATGCATTAATTTTCCATGTGTAAGAGCTTTTTTCAATGGTAACTAACAATAGCTCGGAGAATAGGCTGACTGACCTCAGCCTAAAACTTTCTGACTTACTATCGGATTATGACACCTGCTCATTTCACTTCCTCACAGCTGGGTTTTCTTTATATCCTTTACTCTCACTCCCTATAAAAGAAAACACCTTTTGCATAATGTTAGAAACATTTGCAGATCTTATGGTCAGTGTGTTTGCCTTGTGGCAGTATTCCACAGACACGACAATATCCTTTTCCACATTCTTTCTTTTAGGAAAAAAAAAAAATCTCCCTTCAGATTCTGGGTGTGTATTTTATGTTACAGAGTGAAAAAGACACCTTCAGTAGTCAGTTCTGACTGTAAATTAATCCTTGCCTGCATTCACACCCACCTGTGAGTGGCCTAAGTGGGTCAGGATCTCTGCAACCTTGAATTTGGTTTAACTATCAGAGATTTCTCAGAATCCACAAGATAAAAAAGACTGAATGAACATGAACAACATGAGTAATAACAGACTCACAGACAGTGAAACACCAGCAGTGTCCCTCCCATAGCTCTAATGTGTGTATTGTAAAGGATAAATGCTTAGAGAATGCGTCCCACTATCACAGAGCATGTACTTAAGGTGAATTCAGAGATGAGAGGCAATATTTAATGCCTGCTATGAAATGGGATTGAACTTTGACTGAAGAGAAAGTACAAATGGCCTAAAAGTATGTATAAAGATAATCAGTTTCATTAGTTATCAGAGAAACTCAATGAAATACTTCCAAATACACTTTATGTTGTTAAAAATATGAAAAGTTTGACAATCCTAAATATAAGTTATGTTGTGAAGCTCCAAGAACCCTCATATAATACTGATTATGTATACAGTTGAATTGATACAGGCACTGCTAATATACCCATATGAGCAAGTCAAGGGTATAACTGTTTGGGAAAATATGGAAGACACACCTTAGTAAAGCTGCATAAAACATACACCCAATGAGAAGAAAATACTTTTTGAGTATATTCCATGGAAATTTGTGTGTGTGGGGGGGGTTGAAAATAGGTACACAATGGCAATTTTTTCTAAGCAGCTTATTTTATAATTCCCAAAAATAAAAATCAGTGCAAATGTCCATTAACAATACATATGATGAATCGTGTAACTTTCACAAGGTGGAACCCTATGAATTATTGAAAATTGATAAATTTCAGGTGCACACAAGAATACTGAGACTTGGTGCATAGAAAATGTTAGATGCACAAGAATATAAATGATGGATTATTCCATTTACATAAAATTTCATGTTAACCATATACATTTTTGTTACATGTTATAATAAAATTTTCTATATGTTCTTCCTATACGAATAATGTTAGAGCTTAATTGATGTATTTATATATATATATATATATATATATATATATATATATATATATATATATAATGATTTCCACAAAGTACCTAGCACAGTTACAGGCCTAGAGTCTTTGCTCAATTAATATTTGCTGATTAAATTTATTGTGTGTCAATTAATAAACCATTGATCATGTCAAAGTACATGTTAATTGGTGTATCTAGTACCAGTTTATATCTCCACTTCTAATTATATCTAATTACAAAGCCTTAAATTTCTTTTTGCATGTCTTCAAGGAACCTCAAACACTTGTCTCTGAACATGCTCCCTGCCTCTATAACTGCCTATACTCTAAACCCAGCAGATTCCCTCCTGAAGAGGGAGCCACCATACATTCAGTTGTGTAAATCAGAAACTTTAGAGTCATCCTTAGCACTACACTTTATTTCAACCCTCACAGTCAGTTTATTACCAAGTGCTTTCCATTTAAAAACTGGCATGTTTCCAAATCCAGCTTTCCTTGTCATGACATTGTTGTCATTGTTGTTAAGTACCATCGAGTTGGTACTGACTCATAGCGAGCTTATGCACAGCAGAACAAAACACTGCCAGATCCTGGGCCAACCTCACTATTATTGCCATGCTTAAGGCCATTGATGCTGCCACTTGGACAATCTATCTCGCTGGGGGTCTTCCTCTTTTTCTCTGACCCTCCACCTTACCAAATATGATATCCTTTTCCAGCAATTGGTCCCTCCTGACAATATGTACGAATTATGAGAGACAAATTTTGGCCATCCTGGCCTCCAAGTAACACTTTGGCTGCACTTATTTGAAACACAGATCTGTTTGTTCTTTTCACAGCCCATGCCACTTTCAATATTCTCTTCCAAACCATAACTCAAAAACATCAATTCTTCTACGACCTCTTTATTCATTGTCCAACTTTCGCATGCATATGAGGTTATTGAAAATACCATGGCTTGAGTCAGGTGCACCTTAATCCTCAAGCTGACATCTTTGCTCTTCAATACTTTAAAAAAGTCTTGTGCTGGAGATTTGCCTAATGCAATACATCATTTGATTTCTTGACTGCTGCTCCCATGAGTGTTGATAGTTGATTCAAGAAGAATGAAGTCCTTGACAACTTCAATCTTTTCTCTGTTGATAAGAATGTTGTTTACAAATGTGAAAAGACAGCAAAAAGTTGGTGGAAAATGGAATTAAAATACAATAAAATTTGTCCAAAAACCTTTTGAATCCTCCAACTTTAATAACTCAATTGTTGCTGTTGTTGTTAAGTTCCAGAGAGACTGTTGCAACACATGGCAACCTGATATTGTTTCCAAGTAGCCAATGGTGAGTTTGTATCTCCAATTTTTCAGTTCAAACTGAACTTGAGATTGAGTGCTTACCCTTCGGCACCTGACAAGGACTCCATCACAACCATAAATATTATATAAGGAGCCCTCGTGGTACAATGGGTTAAGCATTGGACTGCTTATTGCTAGATCATCAATTCAAATACATGAGCCACCCCATGGGAGAAAGGAAACAATCTTAGAAACCCTAAGAAGCAGCTCTCCTCTGTCCTATAAGGTTGCTATAGTCAGAACTGACTCAACGACAGTGAACTTTAAGCATTGGATACTAAGGAGGAATCTGTTTGCAACTCCAAAAATTAGACAGACGTGCAGTGGTCAGTACAATCATAAATATTCAAGTGAAGACACTTTAATGAAGATCTAACACTATCAAATGTAGAAATATATTTTTATTGGCCAGAGTTTTTGGATAAAACAACTCAAAAGAATCCAACTGAGTCTAACCGAGGCAGAAATTCAAATGATATTGGGGGACTTGTAGATTTGGTGGAGAGTCTGGGGAACATGGCTGAGAAAATGCACTGGGAACCAGATGGCATAAATACCATACACAACAAGCCAGATCTCACTACCAACACAGATGGACAGTGGAGAGCTCTACTGGCTCCACCACCACTGGACACCAGTCATGGGACACTGGCTATTGGAGACCGTTCCTGCTGCCACTCTGAAAACATCACTGACTCTGTGAATTAAGCATTTGGACAACTGACACATGAATAATTTCATTAAGCTCTCTTCAAGAACATAGCTCCACTCTTAAAATCTTAACCTACCAAAACCAAATCCATTGTCATTTAATTGATTAAAAGACATGGAGGTTTCATGTGTTGTATAGCAGAACTGAACTCTGTAACATTCTCTTGGCTGCCATCTTCCTGGTATGGTGCTGCAGGATAAGCACTGGACCATAAGGTTGGTTTGAACCACAAACCAGGCACTCTTCAGAAACCCCATGCAGGTTCACTCTAAGTTGGAACTGACTCCACAGCACTTGATAACATCAACAGCAATCTTTCTTGAAGCAGATCACTAGACTTTTCTTCTATGCCACCACTCGGTGGATTCACATGACCAAACTTCAGGACTGTAGCCAAGTGCAAACTATCTGCACAACTCAAAGACCTCCAGCAACTATAACAGGAAAATGGAAATATTATTATTTCCATTAGCGAATTCATGACAATAGGTGGCCATTACAGCCATATTAAACAGCAAAAGCAGCACAACATACAGAATTTTAACCACAACAGCCCTGTGCGCTAAGAATATCTTTGCCATACTGCAGTGTTCCTTTCACAAATGTCCCCTCAACTACAACCTGTTCTGAACTTAGGGCTAAAATGCTATGAAAGAGCCTCCCATGGGAGATACAGACAGAGCAACATCACACAGAAGAGAAGCTACATAAAACTGACACCGTCTAGATCCCTGGGCTCCTGCTCTTCTGTGTCCGGAGTGAGAAGGTATTTACAAGCCTAGAGATAGAGTTTTCTTTACAGAGTGATTCTTTTATTCAGATAATCTACTATTGAAATGAGACATGAAATAAATACTACAGGAAAACAGGACTGCCCACTTGTCCCTGTGAGGCCCTTTTGGATTAATTTTTCTGTCCATCCATGATGGAACAGCATCTCTGGGTCATCTTTGTGTGTCTGTCATTTCAGCATCCAGTGGGCACGTACTGCTCAGATGGAGCCAGGATCTCACTCTGTAGTCCAAGCAGAGAAAGTCCACATTAGCTGCAGCCCAGTCTAAAGTGCATTGACACTGAATGGGCATACTGTTTAGGATGGCATCGGCATAAGCTAGAACAAAGACGTACAAGCTGCATTTACAACACTTCCTCTATATTTGATGCTATGATGCTAGATAGGTTTCAGACTAAATTTGCTCCTTCAACTAATAGACATAAGGAAGTCCTGGTGTTCTATTTCCGAAAAATCATCCTATGTAAGTCCTACGAATCATTACAGTCTAACCCAGAGGCACGACTGGCACCCACACACATACTCCTCCATTGAAGCTCCCATTTTCCCGGGGCTCAGAGCTGCATGGTAGTGAGCAGTGTAGTTGTGAGCACCTTCAAAGTGAGTTGGGAACTATACACACAAAACTCAGCATCCCAGATTCAGAGGATAATCTCAGAAACAGAAGGAAGAGAAGGATTCCTGGATGGAGTTAAAATAAGAGTAGAGTAAAGACATGAGGAAGCCGATCCATGAAGGGATTGCATCTCACTACATCTTACTCAGCAGTGGATAGAACTGAACTCAGTTTGCATCCCTCAGGTCTATCTATGTTCATGGGACATGCTGACAGCATTCATATGATACAAGACAGGTTCCATGGTAACGTCCAGTGGTAGAATAACGGTCCCTGAAGATTCTAACACACTAGCCCCTGGAACCTGTTAAAATGTTACTTGTGTGGAAAATAGGATTTCAAATGTGTTTAAGGTTAATGGCCTAGAGATGGGAGAATTTGCATGAATTTCCCAGGTACCCTGCATCTAATAACATGAGTCCTCTAAGCAAAGAACCTTTTTATGTCTGTGATCCCCTAGAGCTGTAACAGTGAAGGAAGCGTCAGGGATGCCAAGTTGCTGACTTGGGAGATGGAGGAAGACCTTGAACCAAGTCCTGCAGGAGGTTTCTTTGTTGTGGTATTTCAGCGCCCGTCGAGTTGGTTCCAAATCACAGCAACTCTGTATAGGGTTTCCAAGAAGCAGGTGAGTTTGAATCACGGAACTTGTGGTTCAAACCAACCTTGCAGTCAAGTGCTTTATCCCACCATGCCACACCTCATCTTATGAGATAGAAAAGCCAAGGGAACAGATTCTCCTTTGAGCCTCCTCCAAAATGAACACAGCTCTTCCTACACCTTGATTTTAGTCAGTGAGATCTGTGTCACAATTCTAATGTTAATAACTATGAAATAACAATTCTGTATTGAGTCACCCAATAGATATAGGATCAGTTGTTACGGCAACTACAAGAAGCAAACATAAAGCATTAGTATGTATTTTCATACATGAACATTCCTTAACAAAGAATCAAAGACACCTAACTCCCTTAATTGTCTCCTTATCCCTCCTAAACCTCCCATGAATAAGTAAGAAAACATACCCTCTCAGATATACAGAGAGCAAGTGTAAGTTCAGGACCTGTGAGGAAAAGTCAGCTGTGCTATAGAGACTCACTGAGACATAGCCAAGGGAGGAGGTTTCTGTTCCAGGCTGAAACTCTGTGGGTGGTAAGCTATTACGTTGCTGACAGCAATAAAGTGCCACATCTTCAACTTGGAGACTGTTGATGCTGAGAGTGAAATCTGTCCCAGACCCACTACCATGGAACCGGTTGGAGACCCCAGAAGCCAGGGAGGATGCCAGATAGATGAGAGACTTGAGAGGCCGTTCTGCTTTCTGCTGGTACCAGCCTATGTTTGTGTCCGCACTCTGACTGGATTTGTAGTTGATGGTGACCATTTCACCTGGACACACAGCCAGGAAGGCTGGAGACTGAGTCATCGCTATGTCCTCAGTGGCACCTGCAATCATAGTGGACAATTACCACGCATGCGTGCACTAAGTCAAGAAATGATAAAGCATGTTGTTTAAAACCACATTTCTTAGAGTTTTAGATATGTACCTGAGTTTGGTTAGGCAATAACCATGATTTCATTCTGCTTCTAAAGTCATTTTCCTCCTCTACACAGATAGTCGTTTGGTTGCATAGAAGTGATTGTCAATCTCTCACCTGAGACCCAGACCAGCATCACCATAAGAAGCTGGTTCTGTGCCATCATCACTGAGAAGCTTCCCTGTCTGATGTAACTCAGCTCACACTGAGGGGAGACAGCTCACTTGTAGAGCTCTGAGCAGCTGCTAAAGCCCAGAGGGGCCTATGCAAAGTAGGCAATGGTTATGAAAGCAAATCTCATGGGGAATGGAGTGTTCAAATACATAAGGTAACAAAGAGTCAAAAAGCTTTAAAATCTTTGTGTTGAGTGAAGCAAGTCATTCACAAAAGGACAAATCCCATTTTTCACCCATATAAACCAGGCAAATATATAGGAAACCAAAGCTTAATGGAGCCCTGGTATGGCACTGTGGTTTAATGTGCTGGAACAATATCAATATGAATCCATGGTCAGCAGTTCAAGCTCACCAGCCACTCCTTGAAGCCCAATACAGGGTTGCTGATGGGTCAGCACCGACTCGATGGCATTTAACATCAACAACAACTAAGCATATTAGTGATTACCAAGGCTGAGAGGGAGGGAAGAAAAGGGGACTCATTTCTTACGGGGTATTTATGTGCCGTGGAGTTGGTTCCGACTCATAGTGACCCAGTACAGGGTTTCCGAAGCTATAAATCTTTACAGGAGCAGAAAGCCTCAACTTTATCCCATGGAACAGCTGGTGGTTTGGAACTGCTGACCCTGAGGTTCACAGCCTGATTGTAACCACTACGCTACCAGGGAGCACTTAGTTTCTGTTAATCACGTTGAAATCATCTGGAAAAAGATAATGGTAGTGATTGAACAACGTGAAGAAGACAATCAATGCCTACCAATTATGGGAGAGCATCAACAAGTTCATAGACAAGTTCATAGACAAAATATATTACAGCTAAGGACTCTATACTCATGGAAAGAGCAAGACTGTGTGCTAGCAGCCAAGAGACAGGCTTGCAAAATGTACCCTTTGGTTGAGTAAATGATTATTCCTGAGTGTTTTTGTGTACAAAGAAAAAAATAATAGAGGGACTAGAAGCAAATACTGTTTAATGATGATGCATGGAGGGTGAAAGGAAATGTGATAGGATGAAGGTAAAATTGATATTCTCCTATCTAAATTATCACTCAATTCACACAAAAAACTTTAATTAAAAAAAGTTCAAAAGCACAAAGTAGAAATTAGTTCAGCTATATCAGTAATTTCTAAATAAATGCTCAAGTTTAAAGGGAAAACTTGTTAGATTGAATTAAACAAATACACAGAAATCTACATGACCATTTGTGGTGCTGTGGGCTACTGTGTCAGACTGCAGTCATTTGAAATGTAAAGTCAGTGGTTCAAGCTCACCAGCTGCTCCTTGGAAACCCTATACAGGGTCACTATGGGTCGGAATCGACTTGAAGACACTTAACAACAACAACGTACAACACTAAAACTAAAGACACATCAAACTCATTAGAAAATTTGGAAGTAAAATAATGGATAAAATGTGCACATATCATAAAAACACTATACCCAAAATTTAAAAACAATTATTCCAGTAGAGACTATTGTGACTCCTATTAAAAAGTAGGAATACCACTCCCACCCCAGAACTTTTTAAACTGTAATCCAAAAAGCACAGTTAACTCTCTGTTTATTCATATTTCTTTCACAGCACCACTGGGTGTGTTTAAACTGCCAGCTTTAGTTTAATTGTTGCTCTTGGTTTTAAGTGTCATTTAGTCGGTTCCAACTCATAGTGACCCTGCAGAGACTTTCCAGAAGTACCTAGTGGATTTGAAATACTGACTTCTCAGTTAGCAGTACAATGCTTATCCTACAGTGAAACACTAGGACAGCAGTCCAACACAAACTGTTTTGCCACCTTGAACCAATGATAGTTATTGTTGTTGTTGTTGTTGTTGTTAGGTGCCATAGAGTTGGCACTGATTCATGGAGACCCTATGCACAACAGAATTAAACATTGCCTGGTCCTGGGCCAACTTCAAAATCATTGCAACGCTTGAACCCACTGATGCTGTCATTTTGCCAATCCATTTCATTGGGAGTCTTCCTCTTTTTCTCTGACCCTCAACCTTACCAATCATAATATCCTTCTGCAATGACTGCTTCCTCCTTACAGTATGTCCAAATTATGAGAGACTATGTTTGTCCATCTTAGCCTCCAAGTTGTACTCTGGCTGTACTTCTTCCAACACAGATCTGTTTGTTCTTTTGGCAGCTTGTGGTACTTTCAATATTCTCCTTCAACACCATAACTCAAATGCACCAATTATTCTACAGTCTTCCTTATTCACTGTCCAGCTTTCACATGCAAATGAAATTATTGAAAATACCATGGCTTGCGTCAAGAGAACCTTGGTCCTCAAACTGACATCTTGCTTTTCAACACTTTAAAAAGTTCTTGTGCAGCAGATTTGCCAATACAATACATCATCTGATATCTTGACTGTGGTTTCCATGAGTGTTGATGGTTGATCAAGAAAAATAAAATCTTTGACAACTTCAATCTTATCTCCATTGGTAAAAATGTTGTTTATTGGTCCAATGGTGAGGATTTTTGTTTTCTTTACAATGAGGTGCAACCTGTACCAAAGACTGTGTTGTTTGATCTTCATCAGTAAATATTTTAAGTCCTCTTCACTTTCAGCAAGCAAAGTGGTATCATATGCATATCCGTAGGTTCTTAATAAGTCTTCCTCCAATCCTGAAGCTATGTTTTTCTTCTGATAACCCAGATTCTTGGATTATTTGCTCAACATACAGGTTGAATAAGTATGGTGAAGGAACACAACCTGTCACACACCTTTCCTAATTTTACACCATTTAGTGTTCTGTTCAAACAACTGCCTCTTGGTCCGTGTACAGATTCCTCATGAGCACAATTTAAGTGTTCTGAAATAAATATACTTTGCAATGTTTTCCATAGCATGACATGATCCACACAGTAAAAAGCCTTTTCATAGTCAATAAAGCACAAGTAAACATCTTTGTGGTATTCTCTACTTTCATCCAAGATCCATCAGACATTAACAATGACATCCCTTGTTCCACGTCCCCTTCTGAATCCACCTTTAACCTCTGGAAGTTCTCTGTCAATATATGCTTGCAATTGTTTCTGTATTACCTTTAGGAAAATTTACTCACATAGGATATCAAAGATATTGGCTGGTGATTTCCACATTCCATTGGGTTACCTCTCTTTGGAATGGGCACAAATACGAATCTCTTCCAACCAGTTGGCCAGATAGCTGTCTTCCAAAATTCTTGGTATAGATCAGTGAGTATCTCCTGTCCCGCCTCACTTCCTTGGGGATTTCAATTTGTATTCCATCAATTCCGGTGCCTTGTTCTTGGCCAATTTCTTCAATGCACCTTAGACTACTTCCTTCATTATTATTGGCTCTTGATCATATGTTACCTCTTGAAATGGTTGAACATCAACCATTTCCTTTTGGTACAGTGACTCTGAGTATTCCTTCTACCTTCTTTTGATGCTTTCTGCATCATTCAATAATTTGCCCAGAGAACCCTTCAATAATGAAAGTCGAGGTTTGAATTTTTTCTTCAGTTCCTGCAGCTTGAGAAATACTGAGTGTGTTCTTCTCTTTGGGTTTTCTGACTCCAAATCTTTGCACATTTGGTTGAAATATTTGACTTTGTCTTCTCAAGCTGATCTTTAAATTTTTCTATTCAGTTCCTGTACGTTTTGGATATAATTGTAGCTATCCAAAGAGCAAAATGGATGTCAGAAGAGACACTGAAACTTGCTCTCCAGCATTGAGATGCTAAAAAGCAAATGGAAGAAATGAGGAGGTACAGGAGAGGATCCAGTGACATTGATACCTCACTTCCCCTTATCGGTATCCAGCGTGGTCACCAATCACAGCGTGTATTCCCATTGAGTCTTAGTCTTGGAAGGGGGTTTGCACTGAGGGGACCCGACC